CTTCTCAGTTCTCTATCGGACGGTGCTGGGACGGCACCTCCCAGGCCTGACCGTCCGCAGCCTCTGGGCGCTGTTGCCTTTCATCCGGCCAGTTCTCCCGGGAGCTTCTCTCTTGTGTCACCCGCTCAGGTGGCCGAGCGGCCAGCTGCACCCCAGGTGCCCACCTGCCCCAGGCTCCTCGCTCACCAGCTGGCACAGGCAGCCAACGACCATCTGACCACAGGTCGTGCCGGTGACAGGAGCCACCCTCCTCTTTCCGACGTCCAGCGTCCGGCTGCCGTCAGCTGTGCGCCGCCCCCCCATGCTGTTCTGAAAGCCGCTTCCCACTCGGGGTCCCTGTCTCCCCGCATTGAGGAGCCCCAGGCCCGCGACCCCGGGCCCCGAGCGTGCCTGAGCCACCTGGAGGCGTCAGAGCACAGGTGACAGCCTCCCCTGTGTCTAGTTCAGCAGCCTGCAGGGCGGGGCCAGGAATCTGCATTTATTTCTCTCTCTTTTGTTAATCCTTCCTGGAGGACATTTTCTCATTGATTTTTAGAGAAAGTGGAAGTGGGGGGCGGGTGGGGAGAAGCGGAGAGAGAGAGAGGCAGAGGATTTTAAAACGCCCTTTCCTGGGCATCACAGCTGAAACGCTGGCCTGTCGGCCGTGCACCACGTCACGTGACATATTGTAAGGGCCTGACGTCTCGAATCGTTACCACAGGTTTTGTTTTCCGGTAGTTCTCTCCCTCCGCGAATGTCCAGTTATACAGATCAGGAGGGAAGAGAATAAAGGGAGACCGACAGACCTTCTGCAAATATAGAAGTACTTTTATTGCATAGACCGTGGCTACGTGGTCTGGGGGGACGGGCATGTTTGACTTCGGCACAAATTACAGCTTGGAAGGTTGGCCAATGGAGGGAGGAAATGACAGGAGGGAAGGAGGGTGGACGAGAAATCAAACCGGAATCACATGACCTGGAGAGCCCCCAGGGTGCGTACGGCAGCCTGGGGCACGGCTTTTCCGCTGAGGGACGGACGGACGGGACAGTCATGGCCGCGTGCCGGGTCCCCCAGTCTCTGGAAGTGGCTTCTCTGGCAGGAGCAGGACGGATTTCCACGGGCGATTGGGGAATCCTTGCGGGTGGTGGTCGGTTTCTGGCGGCCGTGCCGTGGCATCCTGAGCCGGAACCACGCGTGGACGGGCGGGGCGGGGCG